TTGATATAAATAAATATTAATTCAGAGCATGTCCTAAGATATAAAATACAGCGTGAACATTTACTAACACCACAACAATTTTGTATTCCACTAAATGAATATAGCCCTAAAGTTGTCATTAGCCAGAGGTCTGAGCAGCCAGAGTTATAAACATACTATTGACTCCAAGTAATAAGTTAAGCCCTATGTATACCTACTAATTTTCTGATCTCATTCAACTTTACTTAAGGCAAGTTCGAATGATATTTATTTTTATTTATGAAATCTTATTTGAGACTTAAGCTATGACAAATATGCAAACAAAGAACAAAAAACGAAATCAAAAATTCAATTTGCAGATATAAAATACGCAGACAATTGATATTTTCGGCTATGAATTCCGTGCAACCTGCTTGGGGCAACGAACTGGTAACTAGTCATGAATGTGACCTGCATGCCATGTGTCTCGGGCACATTCTGTGAAGCTTGCTTGACATTTCACTTCAACTGTTTTCTTTTAACTACTTTCATTCATTTTGCCTTATTGCACATTTTTCTTTTTTTTATGAAATTTTCCTTAGATTATATTTCATCTTTGTATTTCTATTGGATTTGAAGTTCGCTCATTTTAATTTCGCATTTCCCATTGATAAAGTGGTGCTGAAATAGACTCAGCTGACTAGAAATGCATTTATGCAGCTGGGCTTAGGACTCGTAGCCATGTGTCCCCCATGCTGCCCCCTTTCCACATCATAAATCATTTATACGCATTTCTTTTTATGCCACTCGATAGGTCGCTGAGCTGCTTGGCTACTTGTGCTCGATTCCAACTGTCAGCTAATGCAATGCCGGCCACTAGGTCCCACAAGCACCACAAGTCTTGCAACTGGTCAGACCATGGATAAATTATGTTAATATCATAGCTGGAAGTCTCTCTTATTCTTATCTTTCTCTTTGGCATTTATAATAGTTTGACAAATGAAGGAAAAAGACAAATCAAATAGAAATTGCAGCACATAAATCGGAGTGCAAACTACGATCTACTGCGAGTAGATGTGTTCATATAGAAAACTCACTCTTATTATGAGTAAATAGTGGATATACCCATTAAAACCTTGCACAGATAGGGTATTCAACAGACAACTTAAACTGGAACACGACTTCGTCTCGCGACTTACAACTTGCGCCATATAAATTGCAAAAGCGCAACAAATTGTTAATTTTCTTTTCGTTCAACTTTTTCCTCGTCACTCTGCGGACATTGCCTCAGTTAGCCGTCATTCGTCTCACGTCTTTTGTGCGTCTGTTTTCTTAATTTGCATAATTTTGTGCAAGTTTTTATTTTCCTACTTATTTTCTTTGCCGCATTAAAGAAAAAGTTGAAATATAAATAGAATGCAAATATATGCTTGACTAATAAAGCCAACTGCTGGCCAGGCCAGCCAGGCTTATGCCAATTTAATATTTGTTTTGCGCTTGAGCATATTTCAGAATATCATGGCAGTTATATTATACAATTGCAAACATTTTACATTCTGAAATATGTATTCCAGCAAATCTTAAATTTATTGCTAGACAATCATTTAAAATTTGCTTCAACATGTTTGTTGATGGCATGTTTATGTTTGTCGTCTTAAATATCTCGCACCTCACAATTGTTGCACGACTCGAACAATCACTACTGTTTTAAATGCCACACACAAACACACACACAAACACACACTCGCACACCCAATCCGTTTGCTGCCCAGGCGTTTAGCATAAATTAAATAGTTGCTTTTTGCATTGGAATCGCTGTCAATAGAGACAGAATATACATTTATGCAGGTGATTCATAGGCCACAGCGGGGCACGAAAGGGAAATCCATCAAATGAGCTGCCAACGCGTCGCACAGTCAATACAAATTGATGCTTCCACAGGACACATTGTAGACACCTCCTAGCCACCACTCCCCTCCTCTTCCTTCCAGCCTGCTCTTGTTGGGTCTGCCGCTAACGTTTATTTACTTAGCAAAAAGTGCTTGCAAGAGTTGTAGCTGCAGAGGAAGAGGAGCAGTGCTGGGCAGACTATACGTATCTGTGAGCATTATTCAATGTTTGGCTCCGAACGTGCGCAAATTACAAATTCAATGCACGTAGCCAACGGCGGCGAGGCTTTAGGCAATGTTGGGAGTTGGGAGCTCAAAGATGGTAACTGCTAGCTGGTAACTGGTAACTGGTGGCACCCAGACGCAGGCTATGTTTACGGAACGTTGCCGCCATCATCGTCGCCTCAGAGCCCAGTAAGAGCAACAACCACAACAACAACTACAACAACCAACACAACAACAACAATAGCAACAGCAGCAGCAACAGCTCTCAACCAGCTGACGACACATTAAAATAATGTATTTTTAAATTAAACATTAATTGTCGCTGAATGGTTTCTGAATGGGCTGCCAGTGCCTTTTACCGTTGCGTGCCACCAACTTGGAGCTTCCCCTCTCCCACCCTCTCCATCTCTCTCTCTCTCTCTCCCTCTCTCTCTGTTAAGGAGTGCCCAAGACTGCATTAAGTCATCATTTTTACTTTTCTTTTTGGGTCGGCGGGAGGGGGGTGAGACAAGCGGTGGCAAAGATTTTCATAAATCGCTTGGCTCGTTGTTAATGTTTTTCATCTTTTATTATAGCCCCGTGCGATGTGCGAAATATGTTTTTTATGGCTTTGCCATTTTGCATGCATTAGCGAATGTCTTCAATGCTTCGCAAGGGGCCAAGGGGAGCTGGCGGTGGCAGCAAGGTAGAGGAGGCTTTCACCAAAGGCCTGTTTAAGTGGAAATATTTGATTGTGTTTGCATAGCACTTCCGATATTGCAATGAGCTCATTTGCAGTCATGCTCAGAGCGTGTTTGCATACCACACATAAAAGATTTGGTATTTTGACGGGTAAAGTTCAGTGGAGAATAGAAATCCATCTTTATCTTATATTAATAATATGATATGAGTTGACGTGAGATGCCAAAGTTATTAGAAATATAAATCAATAAGTAATATATTATAAGAGAGAGCTTCTTACTGTATATATTGCATAAAACATTTAATTCCAATTCAGATACATAAATTTACAAGATAGATTATATATAGATAAATAAGAATCAATTTTCGAATACTTTCTGCACACCTTGCATCCATCTTATTCTAATGCTTGCCTATTAATTAAGATTCGTATACATTTAAAATGGGTATTGTTAATTTGATTACTTCCATTCCATGCAATAAACATAGACGAATCAGACTAAACAGATTGGGCAAATCAGTCATTAAGTCAGCTTAACGAATACTTTAGTCACTTGCTAATTCAAGTCGTATCGATCGCTATTATCCGGTGGTAAGCCTGTGCCAAACCTCTCACTTTACATTCCCCATTTATAAAGGGCAGTTAATGTTCTATATAGTCGAATCACAAGTGGCCATTTAGAAGCTGGGCGAGTGTTCTACACTTTCATTGGATTTGCCTAACAAGCCATAATCATGTGGTGCTGTATTTAATTACTGCCTGTATCGTATTCGCATTGCCAATTGCTGCGGGGCGGAGGCACGTGTGGCGAACAGAGGACATCAGTAGCAGCAACAGCAGCCTCCATATCCGCATTCGCATTCGCATCCGCATTCGCATCTCCTCAGCTTGTGAAATTCTAATGCGCCATAATGCCGAACACAATTGAGTCATTAAGCCGCAATCTAATTAAGCCCAAAAATGTGAACGGCTATCCAGGAAAAAAAAGCTAAATAAAATAAAGAGCCAAAAAAATTAACTGCAGAGCTGAGCAGGTCTGCGGATTTGCTTCGGTAGCTGTTCGTGATTTGTTCTTGCTGCTTGTTCTTTGACCCACAAGTGGAGCTCAAGGAAAAACGAATAAAAACACGAAATTTATATATGTATATGTGCAAAAGGTTTAGATCTACATTTTTATTTTTTCGTCTTTTTACGGCGGTTTAACGTGACCATTTTAGCAACCATTTTGTTTTACATTTCTTGGCTAAGATTTATTTCGTGTCGGCTCTCGACCACGTAGGTCATTAAATTGCTTAGAAATCGCGGACATCAACTTCGCGGCCTGACGCGACCAAACACGGCACAGCACGGCCTAGCCCCGGTTTCAAATGAACCACAAAATTACTGTGAAACGGGCGGCACGCACCAGCAGCTTAAGGTACACAATGGGCAAAGTACAAGTAATTCTCGATAAAAAATGAAGGATTGCTTGAGAGAATTACCAAGCAAAATCTCCTCTCTAGTAAATTATTGTGAACTTGTACCTAGCAATTGGAATGCTTAACCAAAATATAATATAATGCATCTAAAATAAAACTGGCCCTTATATGTCTGAAATTGTAAGACGCACACGATGATATTTATTTAAGGAAAAAGTTTATATCTTGGAGATTTATTGATTTGGTTAATTTTTTATAGCAGCGATAGTAAATTGTAATGGCGAATAAGTTATTATAGGAATAACAATAAATTATATAATTATAGATAAAAATATTTATTAGACTCCCTGGCTTATTGTTTATAGTTCGGAATCTTAAGAATTTCTTGAACATATATTCTATGTCTATAAAAATATCCTTGGAATAATATTATTCCATATTTCCATATTTTAATCAAAATATTGGCTGATGCAACCATTGTTTTAATGATGTTTTGGTTGATAGGGTTTGTTTTGGGCATCACAACAGCGAAATAGATACGGTTAATGCCACAAAATGATGTCTAATGACGGTTTCGTCTTACATGACGAAAACTGACTGCGGCTGCGGCTGTGGCTGAAAGTGTGGCTGAGACGTAGGCCGCCACTGAGGCGTTTGGGACCGGTAGTTTGTGTATCTAGAATTAAGTGCTTGTAATTTATAATGTGCCCCAAGTGGGTTCCCAAGTTAAAGTTCAAAGTCGCACTCTATCTCGCTCTCACTTCCTGTAGATAGTTCTCTCATACGCTCATTTGTTTATGTTAATCAGCAACTGGATTGGGAACTTACCTTCAACTTTGGCCAGCGCCAAAACGGATATCGTTTGCAGTGCGGGCACCGCCCAGGCAACCAAATGGAATAAATGAGATTTATTTTCAATTGCCTCGTGGCCCCATTTAAGTCCGGCGGCCAGGAACCAGGCAAAAGCCAAACATGACCACCACGCAAATGCGGCCATGCAACAGAAATACAATGCCATGAATAATACGGTGCACGCGGTCGTCTGCCGATGACCCTGCGCGAGGGAGCAAAGAAGCAAGAGTTGGTAAATATATACAATGAAAAAATGCAAGCTCGTTTCACCATGCTCGAACTTACCTGCGTTATGGTGGACATCATCTGCAGGCGTCCAAGCTTCACTGGCGGCGGAAACGGCTCACGGCACGACACCGAATCGCCCGCACCAAGTCCGGCCACATAGGCACAGCCGACGACCAGATAGCAAACGGCCAGAAAGACAATCGCACGCTCCGGATAACGAAAACGCGATGAGTCTATCAGAAATGTGAGCACCTACAATACATCAAAATAAAATTAAAAACACATATTAATTACATTCAAGCATTTAATTAACTCTGTAGTCATCTTCAAGATGCCGATGTGCAGATTTCATTGGCCACTGCCTTCAAAATACATTAGAGTCGTTGGCCGGGGGAGAGGCGGGAGTTGCGAATGAGGGTCTCGGTCATTAGGCGCTACATACATATTAGCTGATTGTTGTGCAGTTTATTGTGATCTGAGCCCATTTGTAGCGTGTTTCTGGGTAAATGAGTCGACCTTAATGAGAGCACCGGAGTACCCTCTGTCACACACAGAGAGATGGAGTCCTTGGAAGCTGAGACATCAGCTGCCTGGGTTTTACACACAGCATTATACATATATATTTAATAATGCTATTAGGCTCAATTTCCAATTCAGCTGCTCCTTCGAAGCTAAAGGCTTTAAAGGCAATTTCAATTAAAAGGACTGATTTGCCACACCAATGTGAAGGCTATCCAGCCAACCACTTTGACGAGCCGCAAAGGCAAACCAATGTGGCACCAAAGCTACCCACATTGCCGCACAAACCCAATTCAACACTTAAGCCCACATAAACTGAAACTGCAATTTCCAATCCTAGCAAACACCACTTCAGACTTTGCCAGCTAATTACGCACCATTTAAATGAATTCATTACCATTTGGACTAAACCTAACGCTGCGTCCTGAGACTTTTGCCTCCAGGCAGCCAGGCAGCCAGGCAGCCAGGCAGCCAGCCAGCCAGCCAGCCAACTCAGCCCGCAGCCTAAGCGAAGCCATTTCATTTGATCATTACAAAACTATCAGTGGAGCTCTGCGATTGGAGTGTGGAGCCACAGTTGTTTTGTGTTCCATTATGTGCTGCCATTATTATTACGAATGAAAAACATTTGAATTATTCATAGATGTAACATACGACCCAATTGTCGCAAGGCGCAAGTAATCATTTGTTATGTGCCGAGCTTATAGGGTATAAGAATGACAAAGCGACTTTGTGAATTGCTGATCATTTAAAAATTATTTGTCAGTCAGCTTGGCAATATACAAATTAATTTTATCTCATTATTAACGTTGTTATTTTAGTTTTAAAATTATTTCGGACTTAAGCTACATTTCTTTTAACTAGTATTTACAAATATTTCCTACAAATTCAATTATTTACAACTACAACTACTACTAAAGCCAATATGACAGCAATTATTCTCATTTATAAATCTAACTGATTTTCAAACCTGCTAAAGTTATGGGAAACACTTTAAAATAAAAAGTGAAGTATAAATCAAACATAAAGTTTTAATAAATAAATAAATTTCATTATACTTTCTTGCTGACTTCTTTTTAAAATATGAAACTAATTTGGAGCTCGAAATATACTTGAGGATATACAGAATATAAAAAAACATGACCTGGAGCCAGCAGAAAAGGTAATTAAATTATAAAAATATGTCAACATATAATAAACTAAAATATGTAAATCAAATTAGATGTAGCTATGCTGCCTGAACTTAAGTTCATATTCAATGGTTAGTTACAGGGTATATACTTGTCTTGTCTTAGTGCTCATTCCCTTTGCGCTTAGCTCTTAAATTAGAGTTCTCCCATGACTACGTCTAATTCCCGCCTACGCCTTATCGTCTTGCTCATTTACATGCGAAATTTATGCCTGAGATTTTTGGGTGTGTGCAGAAGTTTTTGTAACGCATTTGTTGACATACAAAGACAAGGTTTACATACATATTTACACATATAGATATATATATGTGGGTACATATATACAAAATGGGAATAACAAAATTGAATTGAATTGTTTATTTATGCCAAGCACTTCAGGCATAGGATTTTAGACAGGTTCTACAAAAAGGCAAGGGTTACTAGCATCTATTTGAGTTGCTAGTCCTTCTGCCATTTCATGCCTCATTCCGCCGCCACACCAAACACACACACACACACACAGACACACACATTTTGACAGCAATTTGTTGTGGCACGCATGCTGCTGCTCATTTCATTTGTAGTCAGGGGCGTTGGGCGTGTCAGCTTGTAGGTGTGACTGCTGAAATTGTAGCTACAAATGAAGTAAAATGAGCAAAGCAAACCGACAACAGTCGGAAACAGTCATCACAGCCACAACTCCTCCAACTCCAACCCTGATTCTACCTCTACCTCTGCCTCTGCCTCCGCTTCTCTTGCTGTCTCTGACGGTGGCTCTGCCTCCAACAAAGCCAAAAATTATGCGTTGCTCGCAAGCTTCAACTTGCCTCGCGTTGTCATCTCATCGTCGTGATGGGGCGTGGGCAACTCTTTGATAAACATGGGGCGTAGTTAGTCAGTTTCCGGCAGGCATTTAACTGGGGCTAAAAATCCTACACATGATAGCATGAAAAGCACTCAAAGTAGCGTAAGCTGAGAAGCAGAGACAATGAATGCTGTAATTTTCTCTCATTCAATTATTTAATGTAGATTGCGTTTCACATAAGTAAGAATTAGTAAATTAATGCTTTTCCAACGTTCCTCTATCTAATTCAATAGATATTCCGCTGTACTTATGTTACTCACAATCACTTCAATTTTCAATTTTAAAAAATACCAATATATATTTATATATAGAAAGAAGATCAAATATTCAATGGCAAAGCTTATTTTAGAAAATCAATTAGGTTTCTTTTCAAATTACACAACTTTTCTTTAACTTTATTTACCAATTAAAATAAACTTTGAGCTTGGACATTTATTTTTATTATAAATACCATCAGCAACCCACACAATTGTCAGCCACACCTCACAAATGGTCAAGTTTAATGTTTAATTTCAATTTCAACGCCGCTGTGCCTCATAAATTTCTAAAACTAGTCATTATAAAAACGCCCAAAAACTAAAACGACCACACCCCAACCCTTTGCTGTTTTTTAGACAGCTTAGCTTTGTTCCGCGGCTGCCCGTTTTAGAGTTTCGCATAAATTAAATTAAATTTTACAAACATTTTTTTTATATTTTATTTTATTTTTTTTGGTTTTCATTTTTAATTCAAATTAAATAACGGTGTCATTTGCATAAAGTCAGTGAGACAACAACACAATAACAACTTCCAAGGGGGGGAAGCGATCCAGTTTTGGCTAGGAGGTGGAACGAAGCGTCGTCAGACATGTCAGCGCCTATGATTAGCATAAAACTTTGCACAGGTTTTTTTTGTGAGAATTTGTTGAAAAAATAATTGCGGCATAAATTGTGGTAAATGTTAAAGCTTCGCTTTGGTCTATCTATGTTTTGAATATCTTTGTAAATTTCTGTATTTAGGTTGTCGTCCATTTAAGTGATTAAAGAACAAAAATATTTGCTTTGCTGTCATTTAAATGCGCATATTTAACAAATATTTATTAGTCGTTCATATTTATGCAAATGGTGAACTGCAAGTCAAACAAAATATTAAACCGTAAATCCAAAAGTTTCACAGTTACATGAGAGGCTTACTGTTAAACTATGTTCAACTATCGTTGAGGTCCTGGATGCAGCTACTTTTGTCACCGTGACATCGCATATTTAAACACATCCTGTCCGCCTGGCTGGCTGGCTGGCTGGCTGACAATCCGTCTGGCTGTCCGCCTGTCTGTCTGTCAGTGAGTCAACATTCGCCTCAGTGAGCTTCTGTTTCAGGTTTTGTAATTAAGAAAAGTCATCAAAGTCAACAACATGCTGACACTGAATGACTACCCCCTCCCTATTTACTGTCTCCCTATCTGCAGACGCTTATTTGTTGTCAACATTATCAGAGCTCCCTCGCACGTCTGTCTCAGCCAACTTTTGCGTGTATGCCACACTATCCCACCAGGCGGCTCCCCCCAGTCCCATTGGCAACCCATTGAGAGCCCATTACAGCCCCAGTCATTTCCTTTTCGCTTTCATTGTAAAACAAATGTCATGTCTAACGTCTCTCATCTCATCTCATCTCATCTCATTGCGTTGCCATCTCATTCCCCATTCTCATCTAATGCGTTTAATGAAAAAGGTGTTGATTGTTGACAGTTGTCTCTCATAGTATCTCTAGCAGTGGCTGTCTCACGGCGATAACTTGAGCTCGAATTCCGCGGATGGCACAAGTCAACGGCAAAGTTCACAGAAATAGAGGCAGGTGAAAATATTTGTTTGGTTTTAGTTTGACTTTTTGTGTTTTGTGAAATTGAAATAAATGTGTTTGTTTGTATATGTTAGTTGATACTTTCAGCTGCCACGCCGACGCCTGAGGATATGTCGCACCTAACTGAAATTGCATCTTGGTAAGTAGCAAACTTCAAATACAATCAAGTTATTGAAAACGACATGCTGCTTCAACTCAAACGAATATGAGCGAGTGTCGAAGCTTAATTAAATCTGACTTTCTTCCAACAAAACCAATCAACCAATTAGTTCAGAGCTCACTTTATACGCAATAAGTCTTCAGCTCAAAATTATATCTAACACACACATTAGAATTGATTTTATTCAAAAATAAAAATAAATATTATTTTAATCTTTTTATTAAGTTCAATATTTATTTTTGCAATTTTCTATTGCAGTCGACTATAATTTTTTTTCTAAATATCATTCCCCAATGAGCTTCTAGAAAAATGCTTTGAGCTTATCTAAAGCAACAAAAATAAAACATAATGCAAAAACACTGACAATTATAAATGATTATATTATTAAAAATTAAGATTTATAATATCTACTTTAGTTATAAAATACCGTTAGTTATAAAATATCGTAGTTTCATAAACTATCAAAAGCTGGTTGAGCTAAATGACACGTATTTTATTTGTTTAATACTCCCAGCTTTATGAATGATTTTGCTAAGCTATATTTAACTACAAATGAACTTAACAGAAAATCGGATATCGTCTAAATTTAATGAATTATTTACTTAAGAAAAATATTAACAGCACACACAAAAAATATTTCTATCATCATCAATGACGAGAATGGAAATGAAAATGTCAAGTGGGCCGAGCAGGCGGCTAACCCACTGCACTTGCCAGAGCAACCAACAGCAAATCTGAGGGAGAAAGTGAAAGAAGCAGCAGCAGCACCAGCAGCAGCCAACAGATGAACACTCCCCAAATGCAAAATGCAAAATGAGCACTCAAAACATAATCATTATCATAAAAAAAATAACTAGAGTCTGGCAAAATGGAGCTGCTGGGGAACTGAGTGAAAATGAACAAAATGGCAACATGGCAACAAGTCAACGGAAACATAATTTGTGCACATATAAGTGATGCCACGCCCACAAACAGTCACTGCCTCTGACAATGGGCGACAAATGACATGCAATGCAAAATTTATCACAAACGCAAACGAATAAAAAGAGCCCAAATAAACAAGCAAAAGCAGAACTATGCAAAATTCGTCACACTGAAAGTGACAATGTAGCCTACTCCACCCACACACCTCACCACACCCCCTCTGCATAAACTTATGTGTGATGAATGTAGCTCAACTTTATGATATGCACCATCTCACCAGAACAACAGTTCCAGCTGTAACTCAATCCCCAGTCTGCCTTCTGTGCCCCCACAAAAGCACAGATCACACAAATTTGTGTAGCTGACTAAAATATTTGATAGATGTGCTTGTTGCTGCCCCTGACCCTGCCCCTCCTCTTCCCTACCGACTCGATGATTGCACAAGTGCGTTGCGAATTACGATAAAACACTGCCTGGGATGGCATTATTTTATTTTTTGTATCCTGCCTACAGTTTATAGCTTTTCGTAGCTAAATTGATTTTTTATTTAAATTTTATTTTTGTGTCTGGGTTCAGTTTTTCCAGGCTGCATGATGTATGTGTTAAGGTCTGTGCGTGTGTCAAGAAAGGATATTTGGTAACCGAAAAGGTAGCAAATATTTGGCAGTTGTCGAAAGTTGAGGTTTCAATATTAAAAAAAACATAAGAAATTGTTAAAATAAGGCGCTAATTTGCATATTTAGAATAAATAATTGGTGTGGCTGAAATGGGTCAGTAAGCTTAAATGTATGTAAATGTATCTCATTTATTCCAAACGTGTGTTGTTGAATTATAATATACGCCAACAATAAAAAATCTATCAATTTTATTGCCTGCTGTGAGCTTAATGTGCGTAAAGCCTTTTTATAATTTAACAATTAATGGATATTTTGAAAAAATGATAGACATTTTCGGAATTTATAATAATATGTATAAAATGTAGATATAGTAGATATAGTACAGTTTTTAATATAAGCTCAAACTAGAACCAAACGCACTTTAAGCCATTATATTCAAGGTTGTCTTTGTGTGGCTTACGTTGAAGTTTATGCAAACCAACGGCAAACCAATCAAAAGGCAAACTTAACGCCCACCTAGATCGGCGGCAACTGGAAGGAGTAGCCATTCTGCCAGATACCCTCTACAGAAATAAACAATGCCAAGGGCAAAGAGAAGTGGGAGAAGCATGAGATGTTTCAGTGGGAGATGTCTAAGAGAAGCTTTTAAAGCAAGCAGGGGTTGAAGCATATTCCGCATATGTTTTGCCAAGTTTATTGAAAAATATGCGCTGACAGGTAATATGTCAATGTGTGGGATTTGCCAAAGTGGCAACGTTGCCTCCACAGAATCATAATAGATTCGCTGCAGGAGAAGGAGCAGTAGCAGAGGCAAAAGCAGCATATCCTGTGTAAGGATATGCAAACGCTGGCATAAAGTTGTTTGTTCTCGCCCTTGAGCCATGTTCTCAAGCTAAAGAAAATATGGCAGCATTCAGCTCAAAAACCTTGGCAAAGCAAACAAGGCTAAGGGATACGGACAGGAATGAAGATGGGTGAGGAGACGACTGCAGTTCTCTCGCTCATGATTTATCGCCATCAAATTGAAAATTGAGTGCCTGACATTGTGACACAGATGAGCGTGCATTAATATTACCAAAAATTGATTTCCACTTACCGTAAAGAGACAACTGGCCACACAGACAGCTGCCCAGGATCCGACCCAATAACGCAGCACCGTTCGTTCCCGCTCCGGGAAGAACATGGCGTGACACGGGGCGCCACAATCATGCAGATCCTGTAAAGAAGACCCAATTGAATGGAAATAAGTACGTGAAGCTGCACAACGGAAATTAATTTTCTTTGGTGCGTAATTAATAAGGTTTACATTAAAGGGTGGTGCAGCAATGAACGCAGCGCCTACCTTGATTAACACTCATCCAGAGGAATAGAAGGCAGAGTTGGAGAGTTGGGTATTTAAATGCCAGAGCGCAGCTCTTTATGATTATTTAATCATTTAAAGCCGCAAAGGCAATAGCCATAAAAAAGTAATTAATTTTTTTTAATAATCGTTTTGTACAATTTTATTTATTGGAAAGATTTGTCTGCCAGTTAAAATGGATTTGGGAAAGGGTATAACAAATATGTGCAGAAATATCGTAGAGAGAAACGAAGATAATTAAATAATAATATTAAATTTTATTCTCTCGCTCTCTCTCTCTCTCTCTCTCTCTAGTTTCTTTCTATTTTCGTTATTTTTTTCTTCAGTTTCACTCGTTTTTTAAATAAGTTTCGAAGATACAGGGTATTTCTTCATTGATAACATTTTATTGAATAGATGCTTACTAAATAGGTAATAATTACCATACATTGTTGCAATTAATAATCTATGAAAATACATTCAAAATGTTTATTAAATTGTCGTACATGGAAACATAATTATATTTAAATATTTTGCCAATGGGCTGCATTTTGTCTGTGTCTAATACACAAAATCTAGACAACAATTTGTAAATACTTTGTAATGCATTGAATTAAAATTGAAATTGGGTTAAAGTGTAAACAGACAGAATGAAGCAGCTACAACATGCTAAAGGGTCGACAGATATAATCTTGTATACCATTCGCAGATGAAGTTTATTTAATTTTATCGATTACAAATATCGATGCATATCGATTTATGATAGCAATAAAACTAATATTTTATATATATACATATATCTTTCTAATGGTGAATGATCATTGCTTTAATATTATATAAGTCGGTCTCTTTTAAATTGAGCATTCTTAATTTTTTAAAGTGTTTTTTCCATCAAAGTATTCGGTTCGTATCAAAGTCTCTGTGGCTATTCCACATCTTGATTTGTGGACAGTTTACATCGGCTTGTGAATCCAATCAGAGCTCCATTTTGTGTGTCCTACTTCATTAAAATTCAAATTTGCATTTCGTTTTGGTGTATAATTTTTCTCGTAGCTACTTCGCCAGAAAATGCAGGCAATTTAAAGGCATTTCCGATGTTATTTTCACTGCTGACACAAGTCTGAAAAGTTTTCGGCTCTGTTTTTTATGTTATTGTATGTGCCGCAAATATGCGTAAATATTGCCAAGACTCCCTTTTTCATTCACAATGCCTCCTTCCCTAACTGGCTGACTGGCTGACTGACTGGCTGCCTGTCTGCTTATCATTAACATCATTATATAAAATTTGTTGCCGCTTCCATTGTTGCTGTTGCTGTTGCTGTTATTTTCTTATATTTGGTACCTCAACTCGCGCCAGATAAAACGCGTTTAAGGCGACGATGTTGCCCTTCCTGCAATCCGAAAAGAACGCAATTTACGCCGCTAACCTAACGATGATTGCTCCAAGTGAAGAGGACAGCCTGAGCAGGCACAGTGCCAGAAGGATCAGCGGGAAGCGCCTTTTAAATTTTTAATGGCAACTTCAAATAATGCGCAAGCCCAGCCCGTAAAATTTTGGGGTTGCAGAGCTGCTGCTGCTGCTGCTGCCTCTCCTCCCCATTAACTGCTTAGTTTTTGTTTTTTTGGCATTCCCGTTAGACCATCAACAGACAGTCAGACAGAGTCTGCCTCATCTCCTTCTGCCACCGGTTACTGTGGGGCTTTAGCTGCATCCGAAATGAGTTCGAGTCAAGTTGTGCAGATGCGTGAGGCAAATGTTTGCAGATGGGTCGAGAGATCTGCATCAGATGCAGATACATTTCGTATTCGCAGTTGCCAGTCAAGAATTTTTGCAGTGTTTGTTTGCCTTTCTCCATCTCTACTCTTCCACCCTTCAACTCTGCCTGTTACACACTATGTGCGTATGTGGCTCTATCTAAAATTCAAATCTCTTGTGGCTTACACTGACTCAACAGCATGCGTCGTTGCCGCACTTCACAATGCAATTTGCGGGGTTGTTTTACAGGGATTTTGTCCGTCTGTGGGTCTCAAGGTTGTAGCCCCGCGGCTGGCATCCAAAATAATGCGAATCGTAATAACATTAAATTGCATTCATTGCCTAGACAGAGAGCTGTCAGTGTGATGAATTGAGGGTTGCCCTACAGTTACGGGGAAGTTGTGCAGCAATCTTTATACATATATAAGTTGGGCTAACTTCTTACTTTTGATTTTAGATAGTTCAGCTTTTTTATACATATTTTTATATCTTTAACTCTGTAAGACAAACAGACGCCTCTTCTATGGCCAATTAAAGCGCTAGTGCTTGTGGCATAGCTTCGTGTGGCAACAGTTAGAACAAAAGCATAAGAGACAAGACGTGCCCCAAAGGAGTTGCACAAAGAACAACTACAACTAGCAAACTGACCACAACAAAAGCCATGGGACTTGCACACTGCATTGTTAGGCCTCTGTCTGTGCCCAAGCCCGCATACCTCAGCTCAATCCCCACCCCAGTCTCTATCTCTCTCGCTCTCTTTCTCTCTGTATGTATGTGGCTCTCTCTCTCTCTCTCTCTCTCTCTATGACCAGTCTTCTAGTCTGGCCATTGTTTTCGATTTTTATGAGGCATGTATAAATAATTGCGCCCAAAGGCCGCCGACATAAGTTTTCATGCCGGCCGCGTGGACGAACAACGGCAGCAACAACAACTAAAATGCCAAGCGACTAAACAGGAACCCGCTGCCCGTTGCCACGCCCATACCCTTGTGCCCTGTGGTCGCTCTGGCGTCGACGGCCACTGCAACAAAACATTTTCCAGTTTTTTTTTGGTTTTTTTGACTGCCGGCTACAAATAACATAAAGAATAAAAAACTGAAAGAAAAAAATGGCAGCAAGCTGCAGGTATGAACAGCATTTAAGGAGTTTTTAATTTATTATAAATAAATTTTATGCCTCGAGACAGGGAAAATGGGGGTAGGGGAGACAGGTAAGGAACTCGCTTCTAGTTGGAATATGGTGGGCGTGTTGATGATGGGGGCCTGCAAATTATTATGACTAAAGTCGAAACTCAGCGCTGAGCGTAAAACCAAGCAGCAAAGGCGCACGCACAGTGTAACGAGATGTGGCAGATAAGAGATGTAAAAATGAAGCAGACAGTCCCTTAAATGCATGTTGAGCATATGCAGAGAGGAATTAATTAATAACGCTGCAATTAAAGCATGCAATTTGATCTATATATACTTGCCTTAAGCAAGAAATTTCATAAAATTACTTAAAAATAAATCTAAGAAAGTATAAAAAAAATGGACACGTATATTTAAGTTACTTAGAAATTCATTTTCTACTATTACTAAAAAATAGCAACCACAAAATCTTGCTGCCATGTTATTTGTGTATATAAAAGGGGCACAGAGAATAAGCTGACTAATAAATTGCATTTATTTTAATAAAAATCAAACTGATATTTAATTTTGATTACTATTTTTCTAATATGCATAGAGAGAAAATAAAGAAACGTTGTACAATGAATGTGTAATGAGATGAAATATTAAAATCAATATTTTAATATGCACATAAAAATATTATATGTTCCATTTAATATTTATATTTAATACAAAAGCAAACAAGACTAAACCAAATTTTTATAACAAGATAAAATAATAATAGTATTAAATGAATCTAGGTTCTCACGTGTTAAATTCTTGATAACGGGTTGTTAACCAAAGCCCATGCATTCCAACTAGCTTCACAAGCTGCACTCTTTCCACAGAAAAGAGTCGCATTAGAGAGATACATTAAAGAAACGTGCGACAGTTAGTGGATAGTGTTAATGGGACAAGCTCTGACAGTTTTAGTAGTCACACGAACGTTTTTCGAAGCAATTAAGATAAAATATCTTTATTTCAGACAATGTGGTCATAAAATTTCATTCCACGAATCAGAGAAAATTCACAACATGTTTCGGCGCAAGTTTGCAGCACAGTGTAGACCAGAAAAAACTTCATCCATATAGAGTTCATGTACAGATTCATCATCCACCAGAAGCAGAGTCAAAGCCATAGACAACCCTTGACAGTGTTAATGATAGCTTCGACAATGTGCGTGAGTGAGTGTGTGTGTGTGTGGGTGTATTTTAGGGGGTGTTGTTGCTGACGTTGTTAAAGTCAAAATAGACAGACACACAGCCAACATTTACACGGAGGCAGAAAGGCAAAAGATCTAAAGCATCGAACACTAGAAGACCAATGTGCAATTCGATTGTGCCAAGGGTTGTTTTTCGGGGCACAGGATGTGCGCAGGAGAGGACGGGCCTGATGTCTCGCCAGTAGTCGGTGTGTGTCTGTGTGTGTCCTGTTTCTGTTGGCATGTCTGCTGTCTGGCATGTGCTTGGGGGCGCTGCTGCGTCGCACATGAAACAACTGGCAAGGACAACAGGAAACAGGCCGTGCTGACAACAAAACATGCATTCAAGCATTGAATAAATTTACAACAACAAAAAAATATAAATTCAATAACCAAAACCGGAACCGAGCACAAAGACGAAAGCGCAAGACGCGTCCAACAAGTCTTAAAAGTCAATTTTGTGCAGGAAGTGGCAAAAGCAGAACATGCAGGACATGCAGGACATGACTCGAGCACAGCCAAGAGTCAAGAGCAAGCAAGAAACGAAAATGAAATCTAAAAGCGTTGCAGAAATGCTCATAATTTATTAATATTATCCGATGGGTCGCCAACCTCTAACCACAAAAAAGAAAAAAAAAACAAACAGCAAACAGCAAACCACAGGCCCAAAATGTTCAAAAGACAAAGTCAGGGGCCGCACAAATTACACATGTCGACACTTTATTAAGGACACTCTGAACTGTGGCATGGGTTCCTTCGGCGTTCGATGGCATATC